TGCGCGCGCATTTATACGTTTCATCATCGCTATCGGCGATCAGCGCGCGCTTAATGCGAGATCCGGATCGAGAGATATTAGATCATTAATTATCGTAATTTCGCTTTTTTTTTTTATTCCAGGACTATACGCGAATAATTGTACCATCTCTGTTGCAAACGCGATGACAACAAATCCTTTAATCCCGCTTGCGCTTACGCCTGTTTCTCTAAATTAAATGAGCGTTTCATATATTTCGATATATTAAGCGCACCCTTTAATGTCCGTTTGCTAAAGCTGATGATATTATGCGCTGACCGCCCCTCGGCGCATTACATTGAAAAGCGCGGAATTATTTCTATACAAGAGCGCAGTTTCTCTGTTACACACAGAGTTATACATTATTCATCGTGATAAAAGTGCGCCCTTGGGCTGCTGCTGCGGCAACCGGATACTAAACCCAATCCCGAAGTTCGGGATTTATGGCGAAAGTAGTTCTGGAATGTAGATATCGCCGCTAGATATACACGGCTAGTTACATCCTACTTAGTCCGCCTCTCCCCCCCCCCTCTCCCAAAACACGCGCTTTTAAACGCGCCGAGCGAAGAAGCGTGTTTCGCCGCGAAACGCCAGGCGCTGTTCAGTTCGAAAGAAATTTTCATCTGTAAAGTGCGGAGATCTATTTGCCCTGTCCGACGTGTCAAACCGCGCCTCTATTTCTTGGTTAGAATCCAATTAACGAATCTTAATGAGAGAAGTGCAAAACACGGGGGGGTGAGCTGCGGAAAATTTTCCATCCCGTTTATTTTGCAACTGGCAGATTTATGCGGGGATGAAAGCGAGGGAATGAAACAACACTTGGTTGGATTTATCACGGTCATACATTCCCCGCGTAAACGAGATTGACTCGTTTCGGTATTTTTTTGTACAAATCAGCCCGTCGCAAAATAAACGGCAAGTTTGTCCACCTTGCGTGCGCAGCGCTGAAATTCTATCATTTTTACTGTTGCGACTAAGCGCATGAGATTGCTGTGTAATCACTATGATTTACGTGTATTTACAACGGGACACTACTCGTGCAACAAAGTCTACAACTGAGGGTTACCTGTGATCTCTCTCTCTCTCTCTTTTCCGGCGGTATCTTTGCTACTATGTTGCTCGGCAACGCGAGCGCGCCGAGAGACATTGTTATCACGGCGGTGCCGCGTGCAGTCGCTGTTGCAATCTGCTACAAATATCAGCGGGATATTGAAATTCGGTGGAACAGAATTGCGCGCATATGCGCGCCACTTAATCAATCGCACGCGCGCCGGCACATTTGGCGCCTACTTGAAATGTAGACGTAAACGGCAATAGGCGGGCTAGTTTCACGCTTTCCTCACGTGGATGCGGGGGATGTCGCACGCATATATCCGCATCTGTCCTCGATTTGAATTGCAAAAGCGAAGTGGCATTCAGCGCGCCTAAGCCTACGTTTAGCGCAAAGTACACGATTCGCTCTCGATACGCAAATTCGGTGCGCGGCGGTAAAACGAGACACGGTTTCCGATAACGCGGCTCGCAAATCCCTTGTACCCGGGGGAGTGCCGCCGTCAAGACACGATTATCAATTTGCGTGATTAATGAGTTTCCGAGCGTTTCTCAGACGACAACTCCAATATATCTTTCGATCAACTCCGTGAGAGAGGCGGGGAGTGCAATTTTTAAAATAAACAGCCACGACTGAGTCTCGAGCGATAAGGTTCGCCGGGATTGGCAGGACAACGTCATTTCCTTGCGCGGGTAATATTATCGATATTTCCACGTGAAGTGCATCTCTTCACAAATGCCAATACTTGCGCCCTGTCTCCGTTGAAATTCGCTTAACTATCCTTTGTTGCGTCCGTCATCGTGTATTAAACTATATTACCACGGTGAGATCTCATCAGTCTCGGGATAACACAGCAGACTGTGTATATACTGCTTCTCCTGTATGCATGTAGTTATGATGTCCTTTCGAAAGTTTCACGATCCGGCGACTACAAGATGGAGCGCTTGATTGCGTCAGATTCATAGAGCCTTTCATGCACGCGCGTACTTCTATTAACAGCGAATTAATGCCTCAAACAAGTGTAAATTCACATTAAAATATTTAAAATTAATTTAATTTAATTTTGTCTCAATTTCATTTTAATTACGCTCGCAAGCAATCTGTAATTAGCACTAAGCAAATTTATCTATAATTATATACACATTTATATAGTCATGTGAGTTTTTGGATCATGCGTGTTTGAATATTCACGTATAATAATTGGCGATTAAAAAATCTTCGATTCAAATTGCTTGCTTTATAAGCAATTGTTAATATTTTTAGCTCTTTATTAAATCTTTCGCACAAATCAGACGCTTAAAGATACTAAATCGTTCAACATAAAGTCACGAAATCATAAATAAAATTCTATCCCGAATTTGTTGCAAATCGTAGATTATCCGAAGCAAATAATGACACTTTGACACAATCGCCACTTGCAGTGAAGTGAGCGCGGTTCGTAGAAGCAAAAGAGCAAGCTTTCCCGTTCCAAATAGGTCTCATGCGTGTCTGCGTTAATCCTGAGATGCGCTACAGATACGCGCACACGCGCGCGCCCATGCACTCACCTTGTCCATCAATTGGCGCACTATCCCGTTCCACTCGCCAGTCTCGTAATCGTAAACGCCATACTTGCCGTCCGGCACGAGCTCGATCCTGTAAGTGAAGCCCACCATGCGCGCTATCTCCTTCAGCAGGTCGATGCAGAAGCCCTCGTAGCGCGCGTCCCCGCTGAAGTTCCCTCCGCTCTTCAGCATTACATATGGCTGCTCCTACGGGGATCATAAAAAGGAGCTACCGTCTTTCGCTCGCCTTCCTTACAAGCTTTCTCTCACATTTCCTCTCCTTCTCTTTCTTTCTTTCTCTCTTTCTATCTCCTTTCTTTTTCTCTATATTTGTCCGTCTCCGGCCGTCAGCTTTCCCGCCCATTTCGTTAACTCGCAGGATGCTGCTCCTGCGCCGGATCCATCGATATGGTCGGCGGCAAAGTCGCGCGCGCGCGAATGATAAGGCATTTGCGTGTTCGTCGTGGGTAGTTTTACGAGCTGGATGTTAATTTCTTTTTCTTCCCGGGCAAAGCAACACGCGGTGATCAAGTTTTACGGCTTCTGGGTTTGGGAGGATTTAGGGAAATTTTTGTGTGTTCTTCAGCGCCCCGTCGCTATAAACTTGATTAAAAGACCGAAGAAATAGGTGTAATAATTTAGCAATTGTTTTAATCTATTCACAATTTTTGTTTCGCGATTTTGAATGGCGAGTTGCATAAATAAAAAATTGCGTGCGCGAAATATATGGAAGAATAAATTGCAATGAGACGCGTGAAAATGTCCGGTGTTTTTCCGCCAGCGCGCCAACTCTAAAATAACATCTATGAATTTTGCATGAAAGTGACACAGTCACGCTTGCCGAAGAGTTCGAGGGGCGCTGGAATGCATCCGGCGATAGCACAGGCCGTGCATCTCCGTGGCGGCGTGGACAGCTTTAATTGGTATTTACGGCGGCATTCCGGATATGTTCGGGTCTGCCGGATGCACTTGCACTGACGCGCGCAGAAGGAGAGAGAGACGCGCCGCGCGCGGTCGATGACTCTCTCGATGCTGATTACCGGCTAAATGGATTACTCTTCAATAGACTATTACGCCGAACACTCCCACGAGATACGTGTGTGACCTGCACGCGTAACTACGTGCACGTTATCGTAGGCCTCGGAGACTCAGGTGTGAGAATGTTCGATTGACGTGCGCGAGAAAGTTACGCCCGCTCTCGACTTACGAGCTCGGTTCGCGTAATATCGCTTTAACTATTTTTTTCATATTTATATTTTTTTATTTTCCGTATTAATTATCGATATTTTTCACCTTTATTAAATATTTATTTCATAAGCGGAGAAAAGCAAGAATTTTCGAAGCGGTTGAATACTTTCCGCATTTTTTTTCCACGAAGATTCTTTGCATTACTATACAGCTGTTTCGCTACGTACTTTTGTTAATCCTGCTATCAAATATGTAAAGCTGCAGTTGAAAGCTGCAATACGTTGCCAGAATCGGAATTAAGCCTTTATACGTTATACTGATTCAAACTTTACACAAAAGGTATAATATGAGCGGAGAATGAATAATACCAAATAAAATCCCAGAAAGAGCCGAAAAGGATTAACTTGAAATATATGTTATATACAATTTTCACATTCATGCTAAACGCATTGATGGTATGATTGATAAAGAAAGCGCAAAAAAATTTAAACTAAAATGTTTCACGAAATGAAAAATAAGCTCCATTATTCGCAGACATCTTTTCGTCACAATCAATTTTTCACAATAATTTTAATGCAAATAATTTTCGTTATTCAACAATTCTATCTCAATAACAACTTTCCTTTTCCGTACAGCATCGGCACTTTTATCGGAAAAGCTCTTTATATAAAAAAAAAAAAAAAAAAAACTGTACTCGTGCATAGATAAAATACGTGAAACAGCGCGGATACGAATAATCGATCGCGTTGGAATGCGCGTTATGCGACGGCCGATATGGAAGAGCAAGAACGAGGAAAATAAATTCCGAATAATTCCGATAATTGTATGCGTACGAGAGAAACAAACGAACGTGGACGAGAGCTTTCGTTCTACCGGGCAAATATTATCCTTACGACAAATGAGCGGAAATACAGCGGGCGGAAAGATGTTTCCAGGTGCGAGCGCGTTATCGCGCGGCCGTCGTATATTCAGACCTGAAGAGTCGAGAGTCTAGCCGCGCGCTGTCTAGATTTAAATTTAAATTCAAATCGGCTTCTTGAAATGCAATAAAGTAACTTCACTTCATGAAGCTTTTCGCCATTTTAGATGAAAATGGGGACGGGGTCTGCGTTATACCGCGAAAACGCGAGGGATTTAATTAGAGGGGACGTCGACCAGATTTGATATTTACGAGCGGCATATGAGAATTTCGACTGGATTAACTGCGATGACTGTACGGAGAATGCGTTTGGCGCGCATTAATTAAATCGCGTCGAAAAGTCGCACTGGAAGGATATAAAAGAAAGCGCGTAAATTTCTCGCGATTTACATTTATTTAATTTAAATTCCACCGTCAACTTTGTTATATTTAATACTGTTAGCGTTACGAATAGATTAGAATGACAGAAGCAAGAATATGCATATTACATTCATGCATTCTGTTTGAAGTTTTATAGTCGTTTGCAAAAAATTGCTATGCATATGCGTATACATATGCATAGAAACAGCTCAAATATAAGATTTAATCCAAATAAGCTGCGCAAATGCGCGCACGAAAAACGAAGATGAAAAATCTGCATACATAATTAAAAGCAAAATTTTCGATAAGAGAAATATCACATCTTGCGGGATAAATCGGGAAAATGTTTATCATAGATTTCAGCGCGAACGACATGAAAGTTTCGCGCGAAGCAGAAAGGTAATTTAATTCCACGTACGAGCGAATTAAGAAATGATATCGGATTAAAACAGCCGGTGCTTTTCTGAAATGGTTATTTAATACGGCGCATTCATATGTGAGCGCAAAATGTTTAAAAAATTCCACCTGGAAGACGGAGGATAAGATACAAAATTAATTTAAAGTCAACTTTAATGAGGGTCGCGAGACCACTTTTAACTCTCCTTTGAATAATGTATGAATCTTGAATAAAATAGAGAAGAACGTGAAGCGTATAGCATAAGAGCGTGAAAGATTTAGTGAGACAAAGATCCGATAAATTTTAACGTCGCCCGCAACATGCATGTGCTCACGCATCGACGTCATATTTGGCTGTCAAATATTTACAACGCGCGCGCACAGCTTTCTATGTATAGTAAAAAGTAATTATAATAAAACTAAATAATCGACGGAATAAGCATTTTTTAAATTTATATTGGTTTACTGTATCAATAGATATATAAAAAAAAATTATACATGTACGTGACGTGGAAAAATTAAATATTGTATTTCGACAAATGTTTGATTTCGTACATTTTTGATACATGGAGTTTGCATTGTGTTACGAAATATATATACACGTCTATTTCTGTTGAAATATTATCGATAGTCACTAATAAGTTGTGATTCGCTATTGTTAATTTTAAAAACACTAATCTTCGCCGCGATATGCTATGAAAATCGACTATGCAACAATGATTTTGCATTCGCATTGGAATCGTACAATATTTAGTTGAATAATTATAAATCATGTACGTATCATAACATGCTATGATAATTCATTTGGCATGAATAGCCAATTATGGCGTATCTTTTGATTAAATTTACTTTATAGAAGAAAATTCCTATCCGCACGGACATAATTTATATATCTACGTTATCGAATGAAGATAATTATGAATGAAAGTACCATCTCATTAGTTGAAAATATACATCCGTGTAATATGCTCCATGTTCATTAGAATCATTGAAAATATTGTAATATTGCAATAATTGTTATATCTAAATTTTCCGCAGAGTTGCATGTTATGTCGATGATTACGTATAAAATGAGTGGAGAGGTCTGATTATGATAATCACAGCTGGACCGACGCATTTCTGGACGCGATTTCTAACAAATCCGTGATATTTATGCTAAGTAACGTGACCTAATTAGTTCGCGATGATCATTGATTGATATACCATCTCGTTTCGAACTGATTTGTAGAACCGCATTATGATTTACCTTCATGCAGCGAAATTCCACATCCTACGATACGGTAGATATCGGTGTAACTAATCATAATGAGTTACTAGAGTAGAATCTATTATTCAGCATAATAGAAACGTGATTAGATACAAACAAAGACGGGGAGATATGAGGCCGATAGGAAATGCGGACTATAAGCCAGAAGGAGAATAGGACATCTAATCGTGATTATTTAATCAATTAACAATCGCATATTGGGCTGTCAAGACATTTGCGAAATGTTATTCGACAAGGGAACATTACTCGCAGTAATGCAACCCTCGCTTTGATCAGCCGGAGCGCATTATTATCAAACAATAGTTGTATCGCGCCGGAAATCATCGCCGATAAGCGATATTCAGTTCAATCCGAAATATCGTTCGACGGAAATTGCAGGGGAAAAAGTGAAAAATTGCTTGACCAAACCCAACACGCCGGTTGAACGCAAATCAAGAGGAATCGCAGATTTTCTAGCGATACGCGAGCGTGTGCTCCGGGGAATGGGACGGTGGGCAAAACACAGCGATGCGAAAAAAAATGAAACGAACAAACCAAATCATACATGTCGCATGAGCTCTTTGACGATGCCGTTCCACTCGCCGGTCTCCGGGTCCCGCGCGCCGTACTTCCTGTCCGGCACCAGCTCCAATCGGTACGAGAAGCCCACCACCCTCGCCACCGCCGCCAGGAGGTCCACGCAAAAACCGTAAAACCGCGAATTCCCGGTGTAGTTCTTTTCGTGGTGCATCATCACGTACGGCGTCTCCTGCATCCGTGTCGAATGAACGGGGGATTCATGCAAGAATAACGGAAAACGCTTTGAGAGCGCCACGCCGTAACGCGGATTTATGACGAGACACGTTGGCGCCGACCATATCGAGGAACTTTCAACGACCATCGCGCGTTTCTCGTTCGACTCGCTCTTCCAAAATGGGCGGTACAACCGGGGGTGCCGGGGTTGAAACAGTGAAACAGTCGGCATTATGTATGCGACAATCTATCTCGCTTTCTTGTGCGTCGTATTTTATAAACATATATTGTTCGTATCTAATAATTCTCATAATCTTTCGATAAAGAGCATAAGTATATCCAAAAGTAAAGTTTATTCTTACGATATCAATTTGCTTATCTCTTATGCCACTTTTAAACCTGTTGCACGCAATATTAGAATTCAAATAATGATAGCAACTCACCAGTATAGTGATCACGATCAGCGTCACGTTCGCGATTCCGGGCTCGAAAAAGGCCGCAGTATCCGTGACGTTGACGCCGGCGTCGGGACGCCACTCGCCGACCTAGTTTAGCATATAATTTCATATACCCATCTGTTATATTCGCTTTTCTGACAACACTTCCTGTTTTGCTCGGTAAGTCACGACGTACCTTGACGAGCGAGTGCTGCTTCAGTTTCAGAAGATCCAATTTAAACTGAATTCTGCGGCCCTCTTTAAATTCAATGGGCCCGGATATTCCTTTCATCTCGACCTGCAACAAAAACGAATGGTTACGAATCCGTGCGTGAGAGCGTTTTCTATCTTGCATGCATGAATTCGTCAACGTTATTCTACTCGACAAATATTCAGCAGATTGCACTTGAAGTAACGAGCAGTTTGTCGAGCGCGGAAAGTGTTCCGCGCGATCATTTCAATCATTTCAATTGCTTCATTCTATTATTGGTAAACAAAAATTTTTTAAATTAAAAAAAGTTATGAATTTATTCTAAGATTAGATTTGACTATTATTACGGATTAGCTTAGTTGGGAAAGAGATTTTCTCTCGTGCTATACGTAAACTGTCAAGTACGTTAAAACGTGATGCAAGAACGATGCGCATCGCCAACGTAAATCTCTCAATCTCGTCGCGCATCAGCGTGTCTTCCGACAAAACTGGCGATGGTAGTTTCGCTAACAGCTAACGGCTGTATTACCGGCTCAGAAATTTTCCCGCCTGCCTTAAAAATTTTCGCACTTAGAAAGTCGTTACCGCTCACGCGGGTCGCAAATCTCGCAAAAGTCGTTAAAGCTCCTCCTCGTGGATCTCGCGGCGCGGCGCTATTCAGACGGGCCGGCGCTCGCCAGTTTCTCGTCGTTTTTGTTAAAATGCCACGGAAATCTACGTAGCCGCAGACGTTGAACGCTATTAAGAGAGTGACAGAATGGCGCAAGAAGGGAAGACTACGAGGCGAATGGATATGCGTGGCCTGCCTTCGTAGAGTCGTGGAACGCATAAATTTCAAAAAAAGATCTTCAAAGTCGAACATCTTTCACATCGGTGATTTCATTCGTGAAGATTTTTAACCTCTCGGCTTCTCTCTTCTTCCGCCATAAAGCGAATGCAAATACGTATAAAATAAGTCAGAGATCAAAGACAAAATCACTTGATAAATAGAAAGGGAGATCTTTTCTGACTGTTTTAAAAAATTACGCAATAATACTTCCGTATAAAATTAATATGCGCAAAAATTAGCGCTTAATTTGTAAAATACGCAATTTGAAAAAGCATTTAATATATAATGTAATACTTTAAACTCTTCTATCAAAACTAAGATATGCAAGTGCAGGAAAACAAGAAACTATTTGCTACAGATGTTTTGAAAAATTAAGTATACGCACATATAACGACTACGAGTGCTTGAATACTTGGAGAATGATTTTATAAATGTATTAAATCTCATTTGAAATTTATGGAAGCGTCTCTCGAAGTCTACTGTAATAAGGCGAGTTTTAAAGCACTCCATTTCTTTCGTTACTCGCGCATTATCCGCGTAACATGAAAGAAACGAGCAAATCAAAAGGAAGCCGCAGTTAAATATTTAAGAGCCGGAGTTCCGTGCGCGCGGAAGTTACGACGTGTAACGAAGTATGAGCAAATGTCGGCGCACTCACACTACAAGACGGGGATGTGTCTCGCGATAAAATCCAGAGAGCAAATAATGCCGAACGTAAAAAAGCTCACGAGCTTATTCCTGCTACAGTCTGTAAAAATCGCGCCACCTGATGATCGTCAATGCGACGATTTGCATCCCTCATGGCTTTCCACGAACGAGTAAAATCGCGACAAAATAAAGCGAAAATATTTGAAGTTGCTCGTACCATAAAACTGCGATAAGAACATGAAAGTTGAATAAATACGCTTGGCAGGGATGAAATTACGAGAGTTTGCGAGAGCCGGGAGTTTCCCGATAGCGTTTCGTTTTTGCGATAGTACAAGAACTGGACGGAATGCATAGAAATGGAAAATAAAGTGGAGCGCGGTAAATGAGACCTAAAGTCTGATTACCTCATTTTGCAGCAGCTTTCGAGAGAAAGAGAATTTATGATTTCTCATTTTGATGTAACACAAAGTTCTCTCGTTTCTTCGCGTATGAATGTATAAGAAATTTTAATATGCTACTCTTGTCTTTGCGCACGCGATCTCCAAAACTATTAATGAAGTTTCCTCATGAATTGTGTCTCGTAATTAACTCGAAAGTTCTTTGCACAATGTGCACTACTACGACAATACAGCAACGATTACACAATTGCGTTACACTTATTTTCACTATATTTTTTTACATTAATTTAAGCTTTTTCTGCAAAGCAAAAAACCGAGCTGACTCTCTGCCGGATTTTTCGTTAGCGTGTGACCACAAAGTGTGAAATTAACGTATGAAAAGCGACATTGTACTGAATTAGCAACACGTTTTAAATATATTACACAGGCGCTCTCATCAAATATTCATAAAATGTAAATTATGCTGTTAAATAAATGTATATATAAAATACTATGATATTTTGCGAACCACAAATATTAAATATCGTTTACGCGCGTTTAAACGCGTATTTTACACTAAATTAATAAAATAAATAATACATTGTATATATCACGTTTTCGCATAACTATTTCGAATTAAATTCGTTTCGTTGTTCGGATATTTGACGTGACTGTCTGACGCGGCGCCGAATTTAATATCCTCTATTTATGCGAGCACGTTTGCAGGGACAAAGCTTTTTATTTCCGTTCAATACTCGAGAATTTGATTTCATGCCAATAGAAGATTGCAGTCTCTTGGCAGAAAATCAGAAAACAAAGAAAAAAAAAAAGACATCGCAATCACAAATGTCGCGCTCATCTAAGCATTTAAAATTAAAGTGACGTTTCTTTTTATTTTCTATATAAAGATCGTGCTGTGTCTTATTCCAGGTTAATACTTAAATCCTTGTCGGAGTGACATCGTGAAATGAAACATTTCATTATTAAAACAGACAGCTAGAAGATACAGACAAGATAAAATGAGAAAAGATTTGCACACGATTGAAAAATCGAAAAGTAAGAAGCATGCTGTAAAATGCGCAAATTAATATGATAGAAGTATAAAAATATATTAACTTTTAAATTTGTATTTTCGGATTGTAGTGATTGAATTTCATCATACTAATTTATCCTCTCTATTAATTAACATTAAATGTTAATTAATGATTTTTCGAAAATAATAGTCTTCTATTCTCACATATATAATTCTTTTATTCTTACAAATAGAGCGCGTATAATTTTTGCAAATAATCTCTTAAATTTTCATACGTACAAGTACGCCGATTAAAATTCGGGCGCGTTGAGGTGGCCGGAATGGACGGAATGGGAGATTTAGTGATATTCCCAATCCGACAATTTCGTTTCCACGACGGTTCTAATTAGAACCAAAGCGGAAGTTACTACGACTTTGTCGGGCGTGACTCAAATCCGAGAGTGTCTTCCTTCCACACGACGAGCGCCGACAAGGAAAACGTCGCGGAATAACGGTCGGCGAGGGTCGGAGCATCGGGATAATTGTAAATTGTTATTACGGAGACACGCCTTTTGTTCGCGAGAAAATCCCCTTTTCATGGACGGACGTGGTGCGACGGCTTCTATCATCGCGCCTTTTTCGCGAGTCCCGCGTCGCGCGGCGTATATCCTGGCCACGCGAGCGGAATATGAGAATCCGTCTTAAAAGCGAAATGTCGCCACCACCACGAATCTCGCGCAACATCTTTCCCTCATAAAGAGAGCGCGATGTGTGCGATGATATAACCGGCAAACAGATGATTTCTTATGTCACGCAGCGAGAAAGCGCAGCAAAATCAAAACGCTACAAAGCAACTCCCAGTTTAATATTTCATATTAGAAACTTTATACATTTTTTCATTAGCAGAATCAAAATAATAAATGCTAAGATCTCGGATGATATGCAGACATTTAGCTTGCGAGTTCGAGAGTGTAATTAATTATTATGTACTATTTATCGATCTCTTCACGGTAATGCAATCTATTGGATAATAGCGCAGAGCAACCAAAACATACAGTACCATTAGTAAATTATTTGCAGTTGAATTTTGCTGCAAGTTATTGTTGAACAAAGGAAACGCTACTGTATTATACTCTCGAAGCAATCAATAATCATGTGCGCTCCACACGTGCACATATGCTTTCGAAATAAACCGATAGTTAACTCCTGATTTATGTACTCGCTTTCGTAATGAGAAAGCTCGTAATAGGAGATACATTGAATTTTTTGCTCAAAATAAAGTTCGGTGCAAAAAATACTCGCAGATCGACTCAATAAGAGATCAGTTCTTTTCCATCCGCTGGCTGGATCAGCAGCGCTAGAAAACATCCCGATATGTGACTCGGCGATGTCGCGTCGACGCCGACAGGTTGAGTTCTCTCGCCGGTGTAAAAAAGATCACAACCCTGCAGAAAGTCGCTTGCTTTTCTTTCGCCGTACGTGAGCAGGCTTTTTTTCTCCCGGTCGAAAGGTCGAAGATACGAACATCGTTTAACAAGTAATACAAGATGTACAGAAGCAAAACGGCTTGCCGTTGCGGCATTTACGCCGAACGCGCGGAAGATAACTTTACGCGGAAGTTAGGAATAATACTGAATAATTACTGTGAGGTTGTGAAAAAGCAGCTACATTAAATTAATTAAATTGCAGAAAGATTAAAGTCAAGTCCTGCAACTATCTTTCATACAAATTTCATTACATTAAAGACAATTAACTTTTATCTTATCTTTTGTAAAAAATTCTCAATAGAACGGAAATTCAACGTATCTGATGTTTTATTTCACACAAAGCCCTTCTGCTCGCTTTGTTTGCACGTCATATGAAAGGGAATATATATTTTTTTCTCTAAAAAGAGAGATAAAAACTGCATGAAGATACACAGAAAATAGCAGATAAGCAGGATATTCACGCAGCGAGAAAAGTTTAAACTCCTCCGACGCGGTGCAAGTGATATTGCTAAATTTAGACATTTATATCCTCTTCAATCGCTTGCATGCTAAGGGAAGCGTATTCATCGCGTAATTTCGTTTCGCAGATGAAGTGCATGCTTAGAGTCAAGAAATTCCTCTGGACGGAAGTTTCGAGACGTGTATGTAGCGGTGTAAGTCGAAAAAAAAATGAAAGGAATAATATTCCGACTAAAAGTGTCTCGCTCTGCATCTTTCGTGCTGTTTGAA